TGGATGTCACAGGGAAATATATGGACAGTGTTAGTGGAGGATGTCACAGGGAAATATATGGACAGTGTTAGTGGTGGATGTCACTGGGAAATATATGGACAGTGTTAGTGGTGGAGCATGTCACAGGGAAATATATGGACAGTGTTAGTGGAGGATGTCACTGGGAAATATATGGACAATGTTAGTGGTGGAGGATGTCACAGGGAAAAATATGGACAGTGTTAGTGGTGGAGGATGTCACAGCGAAATATATGGACAGTGTTAGTGGAGGATGTCACAGGGAAATATTATACAGACAGTGTTAGTGGTGGAGGATGTCACAGGGAAATATATGGACAGTGTTAGTGGTGGATGTCACAGGGAAATATATGGACAGTGTTAGTGGTGGATGTCACAGGGAAATATATGGACAGTGTCAGTGGTGGATGTCACAGGGAAATATATGGACAGTGTCAGTGGTGGATGTCACAGGGAAATATATGGACACAGCACAAATATATCACAGATACATAACTCAAATACAGGACATAGACATCACAGATACACAACTCAAATACAGGACATAGACATCACAGATACACAACTCAAATACAGGACATAGACATCACAGATACATAACTCAAATACAGGACATAAACATCACAGATACATAACTCAAATACAGGACATAAACATCACAGATACATATATCAAAGGACATAAACATCACAGATACACATATCAAACACAGGACAGCCCATAAACATGGCTAGCACATTCTCTTCTAACAGTCCCCAACCTTCACCAAACACAATTGTACAAAAAAGATGCAGTAAAAAGTGAAAACACGCGTGGTTGATGTAATGTTTCTGGCTTTGCGACCAGACGTCAATACTTCACACATTCTCTGACATTTGTCAATGGAGTGAGTTTTGACTTTTTCCAACATCAACATTTCTCCCGGCACCACCCACCAGCCTTTTCCTCAATCCACAACGCCAACAAATGGGATAAAATTGGTATCTGTCTACACAACTGTCTTCAAGAGTGTCCTTTGAGACACGTCAATTACTATTTCCCACAAGTTTCAATCCATCATCCATGCTGTTCCCGATACAGTCTCTCTGTCTATCTGAGTGTGTGTGTGTGTGTGTGTGTCTGTCTGTGTGTGTGTACACTCACCTCAGCCTATCCTCGTCCATGCTATTCACGAAACAGTCCCTCTGTGTGTGCGCTTGTGTGTCTGTCTGTGTCTGTCTGTGTGTGTGTGTACACTCACCTCAGCCTATCCTCGTCCATGCTATTCACGAAACAGTCCCTCTGTGTGTGCGCGTGTGTGTCTGTCTGTGTCTGTTTGTGCGTGTGTGTGTCTGTGTCTGTTTGTATGTGTGTACACTCACCTCAGTCTATCCTCGTCCATACTGTTCACGATACAGTCCCTCTGTGTGTGTGTGTGTGTGTGTGCGTGTGTCTGTGTCTGTCTGTGTGTGCGTGTGTGTGTGTGTCTGTGTCTGTTTGTATGTGTGTACACTCACCTCAGTCTATCTTCGTCCATGCTGTTCACGATACAGTCCCTCTGTGTGTACGCGTGTGTGTCTGTCTGTGTCTGTTTGTGTGTGTGTCTGTCTGTGTCTGTTTGTGTGTGTGTACACTCACCTCAGTCTATCCTCGTCCATGCTGTTCACGATACAGTCTCTCTGTCTGTGTGTGTATGTGTCTGTCTGTGTGTGTGTGCGTGTGTGTGTCTGTGTCTGTTTGTGTGTGAGTACACTCACCTCAGTCTATCCTCATCCATGCTGTTCACGATACAGTCCCCCTGTCTGTGTCTGTTTGTGTGTGTGTACACTCACCTCAGTCTATCCTCGTCCATGCTGTTCACGATACAGTCCCTCTGTCTGTCTGTGTGTGTGTGTGTGTGCGTGTGTGTGTGTCTGTGTCTGTTTGTGTGTGTGTCTGTCTGTGTCTGTTTGTGTGTGTGTACACTCACCTCAACCTATCCTCGTCCATGCTGTTCACGATACAGTCCCTCTGTCTATCTGAGTGAGTGTGTGTGTGTGCGTGTGTGTCTGTCTGTGTCTGTCTGTGTGTGTGTACACTCACCTCAGTCTATCCTCGTCCATGCTGTTCACGATACAGTCCCTCTGTCTGTCTGTGTGTGTGTGTGTGTGCGTGTGTGTGTGTCTGTGTCTGTTTGTGTGTGTGTCTGTCTGTGTCTGTTTGTGTGTGTGTACACTCACCTCAACCTATCCTCGTCCATGCTGTTCACGATACAGTCCCTCTGTCTATCTGAGTGAGTGTGTGTGTGTGCGTGTGTGTCTGTCTGTGTCTGTCTGTGTGTGTGTACACTCACCTCAGTCTATCCTCGTCCATGCTGTTCACGATACAGTCCCTCTGTTCCACCAGTTCCAGCTTACGTTGGATCAGATATTCCTCCTCCTGTCTCTCCTCGGGCGACTTGGCCGGCTCTGGAAACATTTACACAAGGCTGGTTTTTTACGACGCGATTCACACAAGTTGGAACATTTAGCTGGGCTGTGTATGATCCTACCTGTCAGGGCTAACCCGGGCTGAGAGGGATACAACATCCCAGCAGACAGACCCGGGCTGAGAGGGATACAACATCCCAGCAGACAGACCCGGGCTGAGAGGGATACAACATCCCAGCAGACAGACCCGGGCTGAGAGGGATACAACATCCCAGCAGAAAGACTGAGATAAAAAAATAACACACACACAGACACAGACACACACACTCACACACACACAGACACATTCACACACAACTGACGACACTTCCGTACACAGTAGCTCACAGAGAAACACGTGCTGGGAGGTACAGTCGGTCTGAAGCTCATTAACTCTGTCCACCCCATCAGATGCTGGGAGGTACAGCTGGTCTGAAGCTCATTAACTCTGTCCACCCCATCAGATGCTGGGAGGTACAGCTGGTCTGAAGCTCATTAACTCTGTCCACTCCATCAGACGCTGGGAGCGTCCAGTACTAGAGACAACTGTTTTGTTTCATTTAGTGCTAGTTTTTGCTTGTTTTTCGGAACTATTCCCAAACCAAGTTTTTTAGTAATGTCTAAGTCTATGTTTCTGCTATTTAGAAGTTGGAGTCAAGCTTTTGGGGGTTATAATGAGACATAGTGCACCAGGTTTAGGTGACTGTAGAAAAAAACTCCGGGAAACGGTGAAAAAAACTCAGGGCTTGAAGCGTTAAAAAACAAAACATTTTGTAAATACAAAAATTCCATAGAATGGTTGGGAGATGTTAATCTGACAAAAAAAAAGAAGGTCCAATTTGAATTATTTCAGATCTTAAAAATAGCACATGTGACTTGGTGGCTTCTCTGGATTTCTGAAATTCTACAAAGTCGTTCTATTCTCCAGCTAATACATTATTTCTATTCTACCCTCGTGTTCCTCATCATATCCCACTTTCCACACAAAAAGTCTGGACACAAGCTGCACCAGACGCTACAAGCCGTACGTCTGGAGTCCCCACATACATATTTTTGTCGGGTTGGAAAAGTTGTGGACATTTGTCAGCGTGCGAGAGATGGGGAGATCAAGATTGACAGAGAGAAACAAAACTGTAGAAAGAGACAAGAGGAGGGTTCCATTCACTGGCTACTGCGGTCTGGACACACACACAGAGGATTTTTGTTTTAGTAGAGGTTTTACGCCACTCTCAACTGCATCAGGTCAAATGAGCGCCAGAAGATTAGAGCTGTTACAAGAGAGTAACAAACATAAACAAGAAGAAGGGGAGATAAGGACGATAGATGTTTCATAGGAAAGAAGAAGCAAACAACACTAGAGCACCCGCCAACCACCCAAATAGACAGATGATTTTCTTCTCATTCTATCAAAACCCAGAAGTAGACAACAATATTGGACACCAAGCATCACGTGACAGGGGACAATGGAGTCACCAAACAACACAAGACAAAATCAACCCCACTGGAATTTATCTTATAGATGACTCTTGTGAGTGACCCCCGCCCCCTGACCCCTGACCCCCCCCATCACTGACCCCCCCCCCCCCCCCCCCATATTAAACGGAAGGACCCTTCGTCGACGTGGCGAGATTTTATCATTCAATGATCATGTCTAGTGAAAAACAGCCACGGGGGGGGTCGAGGAAATTCACATGGAGGGGGGAGTTTGGTCCCAGGGGGATCGGGAATGTTAACAGAAACCCCAAGGGGTTTTAAAAAACA